CGCTGCTAATACTAAGTTTGTACTCAAGCCCAGGTCCGACTTCTCACTCATTGGAACTTCCCTCCCCACAGCACAACAGTAATGATATATGATGCGGAAAATAAAATGCGGAAGTAAATAAAGATAAAGCACATATATACACACACCCAAAGAGAAAACACACAAGCTCTAGGATTGACTCGCATAGGAGATATTCCTGTCCCCAGCAGAGTCGCCAGCTGTCGCTACTTGCGAAAAAAGAAGGCCGACAATGACTAACAGAGTCGCCACCTATCGTTATTTATCCCAAAGAGGGGAAAGAAAATGATCGGAAAAAACCTGACAAAAGCGGGAAAAGACGAGGTCATCACAACCAAGTCCTAGGTTCAGGAGTCGGTTACGCAAGGGGAAGGTATGAGCACTCCTCACGTCCGTCGTACTCGATGGGATCCATGCATGTGTTGTATAACTAAAAGGGTGTGTAAACTATCTACGCTAAAGGCTTATGGACAAAAGAGAAAGAGAAATAACTGACTCGGCAGAGCATCGCCGCTCTGTGCCTACGTACTCCCTCGTGCAATGGGAAAGTCAGAGTCAACGTAGTTCGCCTAACTATGGCTAAAGAAGGAGGGGAAGGTTGCTCGCTGTCGCTACTCGAAAAAATGCATCGCGCAACGACGGGGAGGCGAAAAAGATAGACAGAAAAGTCGCCACCGAACTTTATTTATCCCATGAGGGGAAAGGAAAATATCGAGAAAACCTTAGGAAAGAAATGGATAAGATGGTCCCGTGACCAAGAACGGGTTCGGAAGCCGGTTATGCGAGGGGAAGGTATTAGCACCCCTCGCATCCATCGTACTCGATGGGAACCTTTTGTTTGTCGATGTGTGAATTTATTTGCTTAAATATTATGATATAAAAGTGTGTTCTAAAGGGTAAAGAAAAGGGTTTAGAAACGGGGAAAGAGAGGTAACGGGGGGAAGAAGAGAGAGAATAGACTCGGTAGGACTTCGCGGTCCTAGGCCTACGTATTCTCAACGGATATGAGAAAGTCAGAGTCGACGTAGTTCGGGGAACTACAGATATAGGGGAAATGTGCTCGCCAAGACGTCGCCGTCTTGTGCCTACGCATTCTCATCTGGCATGAGAAATAAGAGCAGACGTAGTTCAGCAAACTACGGGTGAAAGGTGAAAAAAGAGAGCTCGCCAAGACATCGCCGTCTTGTGCCTACGTATTCTCATCTGGCATGAGAAATCAGAGCAAACGTAGTTCGTGCATAACAGTGTGTTGATGTTTTTACGGATGATGTTATCATGCGCATTCTAGCAGTTAAGTGTTTTGCTGCTCGCTCGTTGGAGACTTAGGCATTACCTGTTTGCGGTAGAACGGACGTAACATATCCTTTTGAAAGATTGATTAGTTTTCGCCACGCGGGGCAAGAAGTCACGTTTGATTGATTGAATTGTTTTTTAGGGGCGAGATAGGTCCTCGGATAGTAACCCCTACGGGTAGTACCCAATTCTTTATCTCAAAGTTTTTGTTATAAAAGGGTGTGGAGAACGAGGCGTCTTCGTATTGAAAGACGAGCGTCGAAACCACCCTCACTACAGTGGGCATCCCAACGCTCGGAGAAGAAGAGGTCTACACCCAATCTGCTCTCTTTAATTCAATGCAAAGAGAACTTCGTTCTCTTATTAAAAGTATTTTTGGTTTTGAATGGTAAGTGCTTTAGCGACAGAGAACCCTACGGTAAACGTCAGCACTCGGGATAGGAGAAGGCCTACGCCTAACCACTCCACGACCATTCAAGTTTTGATGTAAAAAGAAGTTTGAAAATGCACTCGGTGCGAGACCGAGGTTTTAGGTGACAAGGGTTACGGAAGGAAGTTATGAAAGTGATAGGTGGCGGATAAAGTCGCATCTTCGTATTGAAAGACAAGTATCGAGACCACCCTCACTACAGTGGGCATTCCAACACTCGGAGAGGAAGAGGTCTACACCCAATCCTCTCTCTTTAATTCAACATAAAGAGAGCTTGATTTATTATGGAAAGTATACTCAGTACGAGACCGAGGTTTTATGAGGAAACGTTGGAAGCGTCTTTGTATTGACAGACGAGCATCGAGACCACCCTCACTACAGTGGGCATCCCTATGCTCGAAGAAGAAGAGGTCTACACCCAATCCTCTCTTTAGCTCAACACAAAGAAATGATTTTAAGGAGATGAGATTTGAAAATGGACGGGAAGCGTCTTTGTATTGAAAGACGAGTGTCGGAACCACCCTCACTACAGTGGGTATCCCAACACTCGGAGAGGAAGAAAGTCTACACTTAATCCCCTCTTTTTAATTCAATACAAAGATAATTTGATTTTGAAGTTGGTTTGAAAATGTTTTTGAATCGAGTCGGGACAAGTGATGAAGAGAGAAAAGAGGTGGTCTCAGATCCAACATTACCTATCAATAATTTGACTGGTAATGAATTACGGAGGTCTCGTCATCGACCAAAACGGAAAATGGGACAAAAATGTCCAATAACAAATGCGAAACGAAATCCAACTCTAAATATGAAATGAACTTCTAGATAAATATATATATATATATATATATATATATATATATATATATATATATATATATATATATATATATATATATATATATATATATATATATATATATATATATATATATATATATATATATATATATATATATATATATATATATATATATATATATATATATATATATATATATATATATATATATATATATATATATATATATATATATATATATATATATATATATATATATATATATATATATATATATATATATATATATATATATATATATATATATATATATATATATATATATATATATATATATATATATATATATATATATATATATATATATATATATATATATATATATATATATATATATATATATATATATATATATATATATATATATATATATATATATATATATATATATATATATATATATATATATATATATATATATATATATATATATATATATATATATATATATATATATATATATATATATATATATATACATGTACAAAATTCTATAATATATAACATACATAAAAACTCTAAAGAAAATAATATTTACAAGATTTTAAAAGATAAAAGTTTATAGGTAAATCTTAATGAAAAAAAAACTAACTATAATATATATACACAAAGTTCTAAAATATAATATATGAAATATAGATAAAATATATTTAAAAAAAAAACAAAGACAAAGGGTGTGAGAGATACGAGAGTGAGATCATCCAGGCCATATCAAGCCCATCACCTGTTATCGGCAAAAAACAATGAGGGACTTCAGGGTGAAGCCGCTTGCTCATCCCCAAACAAAACCATCGTCGCGCCCTGGCTTCTCACGATTTCAACCCCGTCGATCCTCCTTCCGTGAATCCCATGTCTCATTGCTTTGGGATAGATCCTGAATTGCTTTTTCTTCTCTTCAACTGGCTTGTGAATCCTTTTCGATTTGGTTCAAGATCCGGGTTTGTATCGATTCCGTTGAATCCTAATCTATCTTCATCCTTAACTCTCTGTTCTTTTTGGTTAGACTGATTTGGGATTTTGAGAGTTTCGAATGGGTTAAGGTGATGGTGGTTGCAGATGGTTTCAGTGAGAGTGTGAGCGACTTTGAAGGTGACATAAAGGTTTGATGAAGATGATAATGGTGGAGAAGCTCAACGAAGGAAAACGGTGGTGATGGTGCGTGTGGTTTGTTGGAGAAGGTATGTTTGAAGGTTGGCAATTAAATGGTTTCTGGTGTTCGTCAGAGCTGAGTTTGAATGGTCTTTGATGGATTTGTTTGAAGCAGAGGTCGAATGTGGTTCTGCTACAGCTTGAAGAGCTCTTCGCGGCTGTTGGTTGTCATTTTTCATTACCGGTGGTGTCGTTGTGTTGCTGTCAAAAAAGTTGTGTTGCTATTGAACCCGCCGAAGATTATTGCTGCTGAAGTTTGTGGTAAGCTAAGATTTTGTTCATGTTTCAAACTTGAACCACTGAAACTGAGTTTTTGTTATGAAGATGGGGAACTGAGTTATTGTGATCATTACTTGTTGCAGAGTTCGGCGAAGGTTTCGAAGAAAGGTGCCGAAGGGGTGAGTTCTTGAAACTCAGTTTGTTGAAGGTTAGTGATCGAAGGTGAGATATGGGCAGTTTTGAGTTTGAGGAAACAATGCGCGCCAACTGTTTGTGAAAAGGCTTTGAAGGAGGTTGAGTTTGTTGTTTAGGGATTTTTCTGGGTTCAGTCTTGAGTTTGTTTGAGTTGCGAAATGAATGTTGTGAGTTCGTCCATGGCTTGTTACGGGTTGTTCTGTGGTTGAAAAAAAAACGAAGAAGAAGGTTATTCGATGGTTCTGAAGGTTTGAGATGGAACGAGTTGGAAGAAGAAAATATTGAAGGCGAAATGGATCGATCTGAAGTTTGTTTCCTGGTTTGGGAGGACTTGGTTTGAAATTTGTTTATTGACGGATGGTTAACAGGTGTAGAACTTGCAGCAATTCCCGCTAATGGTGTTATTCAGGGTGATGTTACGGCTAGTTTGAGCTGTTATGATCACATATTTTTGAGGTGAGGAGGAAGGTTGAAGGAGGAGAATGGTGATATGTTAAAGAGATTGGAGTATGTTATTGTGAGTAAGGAGTGATGGTTTATATTCTTGAAGTGTAGTTTGTGTGAATGATTCAAGATGTGATGTGTATGTTTTTTGCAAGTGGTCGTTTTATTGTGTTTTGAGGGATGGTTTTTTACAGGCTGCTGTTGTTAGCAGAGTATGTTTGTGTAGCAGAGTGCAGCAGGCCGGTACGGCTGGTGCAGAGCTTGTCTGGCATGGCTGTTTGTCTGGAGTGGGCTGGTGTGAGTTTGTAGCAGGGTAGTGGTCCTGCTGTGTTGCTTTCCAATAGCAGGTTTTAATGCAGGGAATTGCAAAATGTAAGGGTGGGGTTTTGGCAATTATCCGAAGTGCAGGAATTTGGCAGCAGATGGGTTTTCTATCTTTTGATCTTCACTAACTTGTAAAGTATTTGCAATATGCTGCTGGCATTCTTCTTTAATTTTAGATCGAAAAACTAAAGAGTTGTTCATGTCCATATCCTGGTCTTTTTTGACAGTACTACACCGTTTATTTGAGCAGAAACCATTGTTCCCTTTCTGATTAAGAGCTTCAACAGGGTCACTGCATGTCTTGTTATCAAGACCAAAAGACATGTCCTCATTACTTACACGTGATTCTGTCACTCCACGCGTTAGGAGTTGTTTCTCTGCTGGCTTTGAATCTTGCAAACTATTTGAGAAAGTTTCGCTAGAAATCCATTCTGAGATTATTTCGGAATAAGGGAGCATGTGGAAGTGCTTGACGACTGGGGTGACCATCCAACTGCTAGAACTTCTTTTCACCAAAGGACCTTGGAAGCTTTTAACTAAATCTATGATAGGAACTTGAATAAACCCCTCACTGATCAACTTTGAGCACTTCATTATATAAAATCGTGAAGCTGTCTTCTCTTTGCTCTGGGAATACACAATGTAACTTTTCAAAAGCATTATATCAATACTATTGACACCTGTTCCCGCAGCTTCCTTAACAGCCGAATATCCAACTTCCAAAATCCTACCTTCATTTAATCCATCTTTTGAGGGCTTCTTAATGACTCTTCTCTTTTGGTATGTAGATTTGACATCTCTTGTAACCTCAGAAATTTGACCGGAGGTATCCACATCTTTTTCAATCAACGACCACACTCCACCAGTTGTGGAACAAAAACGCAAGAAACAGTTCTCCTTACTATCAACTAAAAGTACCGCAACTTTTGAAATTGGCCATCCCTCTATGTTAGGAACACTTCTCGACGGGTTTAAAATCGTACATATATCATAAGAACTCGTGATCGCTTTTCCAGTTAACGACAACTGCTCCTCCACATCAACGAGGTCAGTTTCATTAGGCTTTGCCGTGAATTTCATATATGGCAACAAAGCCGGTCTCATATCAACAATCAACTTACAAAACTCCCTAAATCCTACATATGATAGGTCTGGATTCTGCTTTCTGTGGTAATAGTTGTACAGTAACACAACAGAATGATCCTGGTTTGCAATTTTCTGTTGTTGAGATAGAGGAGGATCGTCTTGAATAGAAGGTTTTTCTGGCAGCATTAGATCAACAAAATGTTCAAGAAATGCCCTAATTGCGTCCACAGAAGAACACACTTGTGATACAACCATCTTTTTATAGAATTTCACTCTTTTTTGTAGTTGTTGGTGATGAACTGAAATTCTGGGAAGGGAGTGAAATAGCGGGTTTTTTTATTGACTAATGGAGACTTGACTTCGTCTTCCGGCATCACGAGGCGATCCTTGAGCGGTGTTAGTCCTCTGTTCATGCTATTAGATTTGAAATGTGATGGTATGAATTGAGTGAATGTGCTAGCCAATGCTTCAAAGGATAGCTTAGAAAGATCGGCAATAAGTTGTCCAAAAGATGGCCATCCGGGATCTTCTTTACTGCTGTCCGGGATTGGCATGTGTTTCTCGTTGCTTGGTTGCCCTTTAAACTCTCCTCTCGAGTGTCTTGTTTTTGAGAAGAAAGAGGATCCAAATCCCTGCTGAAGCATGCATGTAGCATACCCAACCAAAACCGCACCAACGACGGTAAGGATATCTGTGCTGGAAATTGAACTAGATTGGTAATCACAGTCGTCCTGGTCAAGAATAATTTGTCGAAGAGCAGCATTCCCTATATCAATGACCAGCAATGAACAGGTTGGATGAACATAAACCACGTCGAAATCATTTGAGAACTTAGCATCCTCACTAGGCCCATCCCTGTAGCCAGCAACATTTGACTTTCCTCCAGCGATGGTTGTGACGCCAGCATCTCCAATCTTTCTAATTGCAAGATTCTGAGTATCAGCAACATAAACATTCCCTTTATCATCCATAGTAATGCCTTTGGGATGATTAAACCGAGCACCACTAGGCTTTCCATCGACATGATCCGTGTAGCCCTGAAACGACCCAGCTACCAATCTTCCTCTACTATACTGAGATAATGGCGGGGTAATTTGAACAATGTTGCTATTAGTTTTATCAACAGCAAAGAGTTCACCATCCTCTTCAGAGACGCGGATCCGATAAGGGATAACTCCCATCTCATTTCCTTCCACAACAGTCTCAACTACATAACCATTCTCAAATTGAAGAACATTCCCATCTGATTGTGGCATCTTTTGTTCATGTTGCAGATGAGGTTATGTGGCTTTGCACGACATTACGAACACTGCGGTTTTGTTGGTGTGTGAATGGTTTATTTTGAAGCTGCGGCAACGGCGTGAGCGTCGTAACAATTTGTTGAGTTTTGTGAATCACCCTACTTTCATAAATCTTTTCATTTTCGACAGGTAGCTAACGCAAGGAGCTCGTGAGCGGTGTTTTTCTATGTTGCAAATTCAAGTCGGGGTTACGGCGCGTGTATCATAGTGAGTGGCAGCTTGGTGACTTTTGTTGGCTTCAAAGACATGAGGTGAAGGTAAAGGCAGCTGATAGTTTTTTTGAATCGTACGCGGGCTATGGTGGCTTTCGGTACGCGCGGTACGGTGTTGGGAAGCTGTCATTTCTCTTCACTTTCTTGCAAGTTTTGATTTCTTTTTCTTTGTGTAAAGTGATGAAAATTATGGCCTTGTTTTGTATGGTTTTGCAGGATGGTATTGGTCGTACAAGTCACACGAATTGAAGGCTTGAGTAGCTCGGTTTGTGCCTTTTTCTGCTCTTCCTGTTGAATTTCTAATAAAGACTTCGCCTTGAAACCAGGAGCAGGCTTCCTTTGCCGTTGCAGAAACACCATTTTCCCACACAACAGACTTAAGATCAGTAAACTTCCCCGATGTCTTTGGAGCATCACCTTTGGCATTTCCACTGCGGACAGAATGGTTAACAATATGCAATGCAGAAGGTTGCTGTGGCACACTCCTGGCAGCCATATTCATCTCAGCATTTTTGAGTGTTGTCTTTGGTTTTGGTTTTTTCAGAGTTATTAACTAAAGCCTTAGGCAAGGATGGTGTCACTAGAATCAACTGTCTTGCCTTCTTAAGAGCAAGTTCTTCAAGCCTCTGGGTTTTGACCGAAACCTGGGGAGTTGACTGAGCTCGATATGGAGTTTGCACCAAAGCTTCAGCCATGTTAAGACCTGCTGATGTACTTGAACCTACAGACCCAGAGATTGGAGTAACAATTTGTTGTGCTGTTTGAGATCTCCTCACCTTGACTAGAAACTTGGCTCTTGCTTTCTTCCTTTACCGACGCTTTGGATGGCTGTGTATTGCTAGAATTTGTGGGTCATATGAAAAATGATTAGGAAATTAAATTATGATGTAACTTTCACGTATCTTTCTCTTGTAAAGATGGGCTTTGAACTTTGAATTTTCACATCCACTTTGTTATTTGAATCATGCTTTAAATCCTTGAACTGTTGATCATTGACTTGAAGTTTCCATGTCATTCCAAAATCTTCATTAGTCAAACCACACCCTTCTTGAGTTCTTCATTTAAATTGAATGAAGCTTTGAAATAATCCACAAATCAATCTTTGAGAAATAAATATTCAAACTCGAATCGACCTTTAACTTTGAACGTATTATTGAATCAACATGAATTCATCCCAACTTTTCCACTTTGAGTCATGACAGGCCAAAAACATCACCCTGAGCTTTATTGAACAATATCCTAATATATGATGGATCATGTCAGTCTTTGATCATGAAACAACTGAATTAAATACCTCTTGAAAACTTGACTCCTTCATAGACACCTTGAGCAAATAGACCTTCAAATGAAGACTCAAACCATATTGCCTAAACAAGACTTGCCTAACCAAGGTTATATTAGAGGCAAATGCACACACTCAAACCTCAGATGAACCTCAATTTATTCTTGTAACAATTTTGACCCATAAACCATGGAATCGTGGGACAAAATGATCTAAATCTTCAATCCCTCGAACAGTAGTTGGTGGATAGATGCACAGATGAAAACAATATACTATGTAGGAAAAATTGGGGTATGCTTATGCAATGTGATATGCTAATGCAATGAAATAAAACACAAGCCAGAGAGGTCGGTCAAATTTTGGGGTACAACACTCGCCAAGACATCGCGTCTTGTGCCTACGTACTTTCATATGGTACGAAAGATCAGAGCAAACGTAGTTCGGGCTTACGAGAACACAGGCTGTTCAAAAGTTTTACCCGAGTAGGGTTAACAGACAGTTCTAGCAGTTGGTGTATGCAGCTCGACCTTTGGAGACTTAGGCGTTACCGTTTGCGATAGGACTGAAAGTTAACAACACTCTTGTTTATGAAAAGAGTTCTCCTGATTAAGACCCCAAGGGGTGAAAAAAAGAGTTTGAATTGTTTTTGTGTTTTTTAAGGAAGAAGTGTTTTGAATTTGGTTTGCGACACATGCTACACTAGAGACTATGATCTAGGACCGAATGCTTCGTATATCGTCCGAAGGACATACACTAACATTCTAGATAACTGAGAGGCAACCAACCAATCATCATTTCCCAAATGGCTTAAGGATCGTAGCGTGCAACAATGGTCGAACTTTATTAAGTGGATTGAAGTTATTTGAAGATGAGAAGAGAAAGAGGACGAACTAAGGGGGACTAGTCCAAGCCCTAAAAGTTGTCATGCAATGTGCACCTAAAGTTGAGTTTGAAAGGGGACTACCTAATGTTATCATGCATGGTTAGAACTCTAATGTCTATAATAACCTCTCTTGAACAAGAGAGGTTATAATTCCTAAGGGAAGGAAGACAAAAGAAGAAGAAACAATAAGAAGAAAGAATGCAAATGTAGAATGCAAACACAAATGCAACAAGGAATACAAAAATGCAATGCAAGTGAGGGAGGAAATATGTGTGGGTCTGAAACCTCCACAAACGCATCTCAACCTCAAGCCATGGTATGAATAAGAACAAGATAAAAGGAGAAGAAGATGCCTAGAAAACAAGTAACAAAAACAATGAGAAAAAGTCCTCATGGATTCATTACTTTAGGCAAGCTTCAGGTTCCTCCTCAGGAGGAACCAAGCAACCTTAAGTAGTATTCCAAGGTCATTGGGCAGAATGGGGATGAGAAGAAGAGATCTCAAAAGCCAAAGCACAACATCATAAGCAAATGCCAATAATAACATCAAAGAATGCAAGTAAATATCACTTATGGAAACACAATATGCAAACATGAAAGTATGAAACCAAATGAACAACCTATGCATATGATAAAGACCCATGAATTAGAACACAAGACCTATAACAAGTCCCTAACATGAAACAATCAGAATTAGGTTAATCAATAATGCACAACCAAGCTTTTGGAAGCAAAACAAAACAAATGCAACAGCAAAGATGCACAAACATGAAGCAACTTGCAAAATACATGAAAAAGAAAAAAATGCATAAAAAAGCCAAATAAAATCTCAGAGGACCCCCAAGGTATCAGGAACTAGGGGTCAAAAGGGGAGATTGAAAAACAAAAGGGAAGTGCCTCAACAGAAGGCAAACATCAAGAGTGTCCCAAAACAGGGCAGAAATGGAGAGGGAACAAAAAAAAATTCAAACCACATGGAAACAGCACTTAAAAATCATGAAAAAAATATCTGGAGATTAATCAACATGTTAACACAATGCTAAAAAAAATCATGCAAAAATAAGAAGTTTAAACATGGAAATAAAATCAAGAAAGAACAAAACCACAATTTAAATCAAATAAAACAGCCCCAATATTTAATTCGTTTTTAAATTGAAAATAAATTCAAAAAATAAAATAAAAATTTCCAGAAAAAACTAGACATCTCAAAGTTTATGAAAATTATTTTTTGTGAATTTTTAAACTATTAGAGCTATTTTATTTGAACTAAAATGAAAACTGTACAAAACAGGAAAATAAAATAACAAACAATTAAATGGAAAGGAAAGTGGTATGAATAGCAATCCATTAAAGTGAGGAACGAAAATGGGCCTCCCTGGGGGGTGTGAACATCAATTCGCGCAAGACCCAACAAGAGGAAAAAAGAAATTAAAATCAGAATGGACAATGTGTGGTTGGTTTGACTTGAGGTATGGTAGAAATCACTGTGAACCACATGATCAAAAACAAAGTAATTCAATCAAGTGGCTAAGGGAAAGCCACCTCAACTAATGAAATTGAGACTTGTTATGGTGTAT